AAGTCTATAACTTTGGAGAGAATACCAGTTCTGAATATGAATCTCCAACTCTGATTACCTGTTATGAATGCATGAATACGCATGAGGTGCGTGAGCTGATGCAATGCCATATTCGATCATTTCCAAGGAACTCACATCCTTTTAAATTTGATTTAAACCAGTAAAGGTAGAGAAGTGCAACACAAGGCTCACACGCATGGTTCCTTGGAAATGGAAAGAACATGACGTTAATGGATTATGTATGAAAGAACACACGATCAAGGTTCCATAAACATGGAAAATGGTTGCACTGTATCTAAACTGAATGATGAGTATCACTGGATCAAAGGTATGGCACCACCTTGAAACACAAAAGAACCAATTACCAAGTGGATCAACAACTGCATGAGACCAAAATCTCCCTGTCATAAAAGACAAATGTTGAACCGCCGAAATAAACGGCCATCACAAGGTGAGAAGTCCAGAACAAAACTGAGAGGACACACCATCATTGAGAGTATCAAGTCACCATCAAAAACACACAGTAATTATCAGAACATGGTCATAAACAGAACTCAAGTCACCAACAGAACAAATAGTCACCATTTGTACCTGTGATAATAATTCTCGCCCCACTCACGGGTAAAGACTAGGTCGTGGTAAGGTCAAAGGACAAATCAGAGTACAAGAGCTCATCTATTGGTATCATCATACGATAACACCTATCTAAACATCCTCTGAAGTCATGGGTCTCATGGTCGGGTCTACAAGACATACGCCTCATAGCTTCCATGGCCATTCTATTCCTAGTTCTTATGGAATTCACTCATAGCCTGGGTATGAGGCCTTTTACCTCATGGAACAACCCACCCACCAAGAAATCCAGAATCCAGCACAGCAGATAACCAATATGGAAAGCAATAAAATGCAATGCAAACATATGCTCAGATAAACATGTATAAATGAATAAACTGAAAGCATAGAAAATAAACACCCAAAGAAAAGAAAGCAAGATCTAGGATAGACTCCAATATGGACCATCATTTGGTCATCCTTAGTCCCCAGTGAATTCGCCAGCTGAAACAACTGACCGAACCGTCATCTGATAATGAATATCAATGAAGTCACCATTGAATGTCTTTTATCCTGCCGAAAGGGAAAGATAAACATCGAGAAAACCTGAAGAGGAAGAAATCACGGTCTTGTGACTGATAGATCGGGTAAGGGAGTCTGTTACATGAGGGGAAGGTATTAGCACCCCACGCGCCCGTGGTACTCTACGGTGTCCACTCTTGCTGTTCTAATTTATGGGTGTAAAATCTATATCTAGGCTGTACAGGAAATGCATGCAAAAGAAAAAAGAAAATAATGTAGGGAAAATAAAAGTTGTGCTCGCTTGGGCCCTACCCCAATGCCTACGTATCCCTTTTAAAGAATCAGAGCAGCCGTAGTTCGGCTCATATATTTTGGTTGGTTTGTGTTTTTTAGTTAAGAAGACAAAAGCAACAGTCAAGATGGCAAAACATCAAATAAAACGATAAAACATCAACGACGATGATAAAACAACAAAAGGGAACGACAATACATCACATGGCAGCAAAAACTCAGATAAGATGATAAAACGTCAGCATGATAGCAAAATATCAGACAAGACGACCAAACATTACACCTAAAAATTATATTAAAAATCAAAGTAGGATGACAAACATACGTGATGGCGAAACATCGGCAACAAACATATGCAATGGCGAAACATCGGTGAAAAGATAGCAAGATAGCATGGCAAATATGACGAGACATCAACAACTCAAATGATAAAACATCACACCTAACAATGATATTGAGAATCAAAGTAGGATAAAAAATATGTGAGATGGCGAAACATCGGCAATTAGCATATGCAATGGCGAAACATCAGCTAAAAGATAACAAAGTAACATGGCAAAGATGGCAAAACATTAACATGATAAAACATCACACCTTACAATGATATTGAGAATCAAAGTAGGATAATAAACGTGCACGATGGCGAAACATCGGCGACAAAATATACGATGGCGAAACATCGGCTAAAAGATATAAAGGTAACATGGCAAAGATGGCAAAACATCAATTTGACAAGGTTTAAAACAAAGCCAAAAGGCACACAAACAATTAAGATTGGATTGTATTTTTACCTTGAAGAAGGATTTAAGTTCATTAGAGATGTTTTATGATTTGCAAAGAAGAAGTTTTAGTTTTAGGATGCAATATGCAAAGAAAGAAAAAATAACCAAGTAGCACTACCCCTAATGTTATCATACAATGAATGTCCCCAAGGTTGAGAATGAAAGAGGGAAATTCCTACCCTATGTTAGAATGCATGGATATCTATCCTAATGTCTAGCTCGAAAGCTACTCTAATCGAGAAATCCTAAGGGTGCATGATATGTCACAGACCCTATGACAAAAATAAGCAAACAGATGGCAAAACATCTAGACAAACAAAAGCTCGAGCATCACTCGAATATCAAACATCTACAAGGCGCAGGCCTAGTAGTAGAAAGGGAGGTCCCGCCATAGACAAGCAACCAAGCATCAGACTAAGGGTCAAGTCGTAGCCAAGGGGAGCGTATCACCCGAGTCAATCAAGCTATAGAATTATGGGAATACAAAAGGGTCCTTAACCGTGGTATCAATTACCAGGGCAAGAAAGATTTGGGGAAGATACATAGTGCATGCTTACACTAAGCATTAGTGCTGGTCAACACGAGCTAAAGAAAGTGTGGGGATCTGATTGCGGGAACCCTTTTCACTCGCCTTTAAAGGAATTAAATTCATTCAGATCTTGGGCACATGTTCAGAGCATCTACTTGTAGAAAGTGAGCATAGGAACGACATGGACTGGAATGTGCGGGGGTCGATTGCGAACCCTCTCTGCTCGTCTCCTTTTGAGGACTTTTCACCTATAATATAGTGCGAGCACAAATATAAACACACGTGCATAATACCTACTTCCAAGGTAGGATTTTAAACAAAAACAATTAGCATACAGAAAACGGTGTCAGCTACAGGACTTTAAACAGCGACTTCAAGCGCACGCTCTTTATTTCCTGCTTCCTACTTCACATGATTTCTAGAAAGCAATAAACGTCCCTACTATACATGATCTCTAGAAAGTGATAAAATGCAGTATTTACAATATTTACAACAATAATGATCTGAATGTATTTACAATATTTACAACGATAATGATAATGCAGTATTTACAATAATAACGGTAATGCAGTATTTGCAATATTTACAACAATAATGATCTAAATGTATACCAAACGGATAATACAAATCTGTATACAGCAAACTCTACAACAAAGTATCTGAATCTTCACAAGCTCAAAAAACTAGCATCCGTAAGCAAACAACGTTAGAAAATGTGATAGGCAAATGCAAGCATACATCTGTCACCGAAGCGGCCAATCCAAACTTATTTCTCCATATATACACAACTCACCAAAATGGTTAGCAAATAACAACACAATTAAAATACAACTTGTAAGTAAGCAATCCATGATTGAAACAATAAGATTATGTACAATACAAGATAGGCAAGTCAATTGATCATAGTATGGCATTTCCGGGCAACATTGCGTTAACACCGAAAAGTGCACCAAGGTTGTTACAAAAATGAGCAAAGTGAAATCCAGGATAAGTATGAGTTGTGCTTGGTCAAGTAGCGAAAAGTGAATCATGCTTAGGTGCTAACGACCATACTCCGGGCAGCCATGCCATATTCAAGCAATTGCATTAAAAAAACGGTAAAAACGCCTATGTACAAGTTGACGGTATTAACAAAATACGGTGTTTACATAAAGCAGAAATGTAGACATTCAATGTAAAAACTAAAGAGTTAGACTATTTTCTACAAGTTAGTATATTTACGCACTAAAGGGAATGGCATCACGGACCAAAGTTAGTGCAAAACGGTATTTTTTTTAAAAACGCCTAATACATGCATAAACTGAAAAGTGCTTCTGAAACCAGTGGTAACCTCTTGAAAACCATCCAGAATGGTTTATAAAACTTATGTGCAGCTATACATGTGCCAACAGTTACAAAAATGTGTTAGACTCTGTCAAATTTCACCCGAAAACTCGATTTTTGCAACACAGATTCAGGAAAATCAGGTGAAAAATAACTGAATCGAAAAATTAAACGCGTAGGCAGATCCGGATGGCTCAAGAGACATGGTCTTCGTTAAAGAAAGTCGTAAAAACTCAAAGCGGTTCACAAGTTATGGCAAAAATCGATTTATGGCAAAAATCGATTTATGTCAAAAAAGTCATATTTTCCAAATGTTGAGATGTTTTCCATTAAACTCTATCAAACTTGTTTCAACTGAGTTTTACAATGGTATTAGAATTTATTGAAACTCATCTCAACACTTAGTAATGACAATCAACAAGTATCCACAAATATTTGGCCAAAAAAGTGAGTTTTATGTCAAAAGTGAGAAAATATTGGTAATTTGAAAATGTTACGTACATGATACATCATAATGCAAGGAAGCCTCATGAGATTATCAACAAAAAAAACACAGCAACAAAGGCCAATTACTTTGACATCAAGACCTTGAAGAAAACTCACAATATAAAGTTCCAAATTCATGAGTTACTTATCCAATACCTAGCTTCTTTAACATTCGGCTGTCAAAACTTAAACGATGTCATGAATTAGTACCTAAACTAACTGAAGTATTAGTATGCTCAAATTCCTTTAAAGGTGAGAAACTCAAGTTCCAATATCAAGCATTCATACATTCCGACTCAATGATGTGCAAATTGGCAATTGAAATGAGCAAGAAGCATACAAATGCTATTCGGGACAACATTACAATTGTTTTGAAAACGTGCAACAATTGATTCAAAATGCAAAGTTATTCGTATTAGAAACAAAAGATATGGCACCGAGCACAAGTAATCAATCAATGAGAAGAGGATCAAGTTTTATTGACAAAATGAGTATTCCGGGCATCCACGCTATACTTACGTAAGTATTCCTAAAAATCGGTTAAAACACAACCAAAAATATCAGTATTAACAAGAGGCAAAATTATGTACAAAGAAATACCGTTCATGAATCAAAATTCTATGTACATATAATTCAAGATTCCAGACAGCATTGTTACCGTTTTGTAAGGTCCAAAATATCTTGAAAAAGTGCAACGGAAAAGATCTCGGTATCTTTTAAAAACAACAAAACAATGCGGTAACTCTAATCCGGAATTAAGTTACATGCCGAGGCGTAATCACAAATTTTGGACAGACCTATATACATGCTAGCATTCACCATAAATTAGAATTTGGAAATCCACACTTAACGTCTAGTCTTGAATGCTAGCATGCAAGTACTTATCCATAACTTGCAAGAAAAGAGGAATTATGTAAATGACAAAGACAACAAAACAGTGAGAGAAATACATGAGCTTAAAGCATTACAACACATCTACAAACTGCAAAACTACCTCCACTGCAAGCTTATGTCAAAACAGAGGAAAATTGGAGTTATACCATAACTTGTAGAAAGTAAGAACTTATGCATCAAGATACATCATAATGCTTCAATTTCCACCAAAAAACAACAAATAATGAAATTAAAGAATGCTAGTTAATATCAAAGTATTAAAGAGATTAGTAGTATTGATTTCAATTCATGAGGTTATGTTACCGACACTTTTCAAACAAGCGGTAAGAAATTCAGAATTAAGCATAATCTCATAACCTCATGAACAACTAACCAATGCCTTATTTCTTATCATTTTGATATCAAAATTGATAACAAAATCAAGAATTAGTACCTAAAACTAAGCTAAGTGTTAGTATGCACTAAATTCCTAAATCAATCGTAGAATTAACCTAAGCTAACATAAATCTGAAAATTATACCTAATTATATTCCATTCTAAAAATCTGAAAATTCAAGAGGAAAAACAAACTCTCTAATTCAATTCTTAACTATTGCAAAAATCTGAAAATTCAACCTATATACTAGTTACAACAACAACTCCAAATTCAAGATTCAACAAAAAAATCAAAGGAGATTATAACAGTACCTCTTGAAGATGCTTGAAGTGTATGAAGAGGAAGAGTTGAGGTTGACCGGAACTGAATGTACCAGCTGGGAGGAAGCAGGACGTGACGGAGGGAGGCTACAGACGCAGGGAAGTTACAGATGGAGAGAGGTTGCAGACGGAGGGAGCTGTAGACGGAGAGATTGCAGAACACAGATGTGTGGAGTTGATTGCAGACGGAGGGAGTTGCGAAGTTGATTGCAGACTGAGAGATGTGCGGAGTTGATAGATTGTAGAACAGTCTGGCGGTGGTGGGAATTCCGGAAGAGAGGGAGGAGGGCGGCCGGAGTTGGTTGAGAAGAGAAGTCCGGCGAGGGAAGAGAGCCTTTCAAGAGGGAGCCTCCTTTATACCTTTTTTTTATGACAAGAAAAAAAAAAGAGAAAGTGAAAGAGAGGGAAATTCTAATTTTTGGAAAAAATGAGAGAGAGCTTAGTTTTGGTAGTAAAATTTAATATATAGTAAATGTAAAAATCCCATGTTTTCAGCTTATTCACCGCTTAAGTGAAAATTACACCGTGATTCGTAAGACTTCCCGAACGCGGACCTCCTATGAAAATATGTGCCTCTGAGTTACGGAAACAACCCAAAAAGAACGGATGTTTTCTGACAAAAATCAAGTGAGTTCGATACGTTTAAGCGGCGAGACGTCACTGTCAAAAATTAATTACGTCAAAATATCAGCTTATTTAACCTCTGCTACTCGGAAACGTCACAAGGTCGTGTCCCAAAAATCAGAACCTCGATTCATATTTTCCAGGAAAAATATGCGTCTCTGAGTGCTCGACGCCGTGTCAAAAAATAAGAGCAGTATGATAAAAGGTTTATCTTTTTTTGAATTTTACAGTACAATGTCGTTAAGTCTGTTTTGCTGGTACGAACAATTCTGTTTTGCGAAATAAACCAAATACGGAGGTCTTCGGGCTACCGTTCGGCTTGGCAACATGAAATGGAATTGAAGGAGACCAAATTAGCAAGCCAACACTTCAAGAACGGGTGCAATTCGGTAAAAATTGACTGAGTTATGAATTTTTAAATATTGGAAACTGAACAGACAGATACCAAATAATTCCTCAGTAATTAGAAATTTACGCAGCCTTCCTCGAATAGTCAGCTCTCTCCCCTGGACGTCCATCAAGAGGATATCAAGACGGAATTTTGGGAACCAAAACCATGCTCATACAGTACTCGAACCTGGAGATATGAATTTTTTAATGCGCATAAAAACACGGTTCAGCCAACTGTTTATCAGTATTTTCCACTGTTCAACTTTGTCTGACTTGCGAATTCGGGGACCTTCCTTCGAGAATTGGCTTTAAGCCCGAACATGGAAATTGGAGAGGATATCGAGGTGGTTTTAACTATTGAAAAAACACCTTGAGACGGTATACGAGATCAGAGTTAGAAATTTCTGAATGCCTGAAACACCGTTGATTGGTAACCTGAAAACTTAGTAATAAAATTATTTGACTGCCTTCTGCACCTAATTGGCTCCAGGCCCGAATACGAAAAGTGAAGATAATATCAACACGAACTTGGTGATCAAATTTCAGCCTAAAACAGTACTCTGGCTCGCAGTTAGCAAATTATGAAGTTCACACACCGAAACAGATTTTTTACTCGAACTGTTCCGAATCAGATCAAACCCTCTAATTCCCTTATATTGCCCAAGACATGAGAAAATACACGGGAATAGAACATGGTGATAACCCGTTCCTCATCTGATTGAATGGCCTGTACAAAGCCTATTAACGTTTCTGATAAATAGTCGATGCTTTATTGGCACACCTTGATCCTATAACAACAGATCCAGTGTATGCATGCGTATGCATATGAAATGTAAGCCAAATAAAAATTCTGAAATCAAGAGGATAAATTTTTGGGTGCAACAATCGTGACCAAGAGATAAAGGGTAAGGAAGTCGGTTATGTGAGGGGAAAGTATTAGAACCCCTCACGTTTGTGATACTCCACAGGATCCACTTAAGTTTGTTCCGATCTAAGGGTGTATAAAAATTCTAAGGCTAAAGCTTACAAGCTAAAAATAAAAATGTAAAGAGGGAATGCATGCAAAAGAAAACACAGAGAAAAGAAGGAAATATTTACAAAGTTTCGCTCGGCTGAGCCTCGCTGCCAGATGCCTATGTATCCCTTTTAAGGAATCAGAGCATCGTAGTCTGGCTCAATAGTTTCTGTTTGTTGTGTGTTTTTTATAGACGATGCTAGCAAAATATGTACTTTTTAAAAAGGTTTTAAAGAAAAAAGTCTGAAGACAAAAAGGTTTGTGTTGGTTTGTGTTTTTTACCTTGAAAAAGGATTTGGTGATTTGAACCACATTAAAGTCTACGACATGAGAGACTTTGGGTGGTCGAGCCAGACGACTCGTACTCAAAGAACTCATGTAAGGATCATGACACATGATTCGCATCATTATTGTTAAGTATTTTGAGAAGTTTGAAAGAAAAAAAAGTTTTAGTCTTAATGAGATGCAAAAGAGGAAAGAAAAAGTCTAAGGGAGACTAGAAAAATAATCCTAAAGTTATCATAAAATGTTGATCCTACAGTTGAGATGGGAGGGAAGCATCTACCTAATATTGTCATGCATGGATTAATATCCTAAGGTCTATTTAATTTAAACTTAGAGAAGAGTGAACTAAAGATCCTATGAGGAGCATACAAAAGGAGAAGCAAGCAAAGATAGGAGAGGGATGATAAAACATCACATAAAGATGACAAAACATCATTTATCTAAGGAGGGATGATAACACATCATAAAGATGACAATACATTAATATAGAAGATGATAAAGCATCAAACATAAACAAAGTTCATGTGGTAAAATACACAAGAGATAAAACTTTTTCAAACAAACTTGAAGAAGTAGAGAAGGAGAAGGAGAATGAGAAAGCAATGATAAGCAAACAAGGGAGTATGGCACAAAAGCACATAAAATCAAAGTGTTAGTTTTGATCCTAATATCAAGGTGATATAAAGATACCCATAAAGGTCATGCACAAGTGGTTTGGGTATAAAAACCAAAAGAAGAAGCAATTAGACACATACACTAGCTAGTGAAGACTTAGGAGTCAAGGGTCTATCTTATCATGATACAAGTGAGAAGAATGAGGTGAAAGAGATGTAATGGTATACAAGTCAGAAGTAAACTCATATAATATTCATCATCACCACATAAACAAACTTGAGAAATACATTCACAATCAAATCATACAAGGAAAATTGTTTTAAAAACCCTAAGTGGACTTATGTCCTCATGCAATATTGACAAGCAAACATGTGAAAGGAAAGAGGTAATATGAAGAAGAGAAAGCAAAAATTAACATATAACCTAAAAGGGAGAGTGAATCAAGAATGGGATAGATGAAGAGAGAATAAGGTTACAAGGTGTTAAAACTCCTAAGTCAGTAGCAAATGATATATACCAAACCATATTTTAAGTAACATAATCAAAGAAGAAAAGTTGTACTCATAGCACTCAAAAGAAGTGATCTAAAGATACAAAACTTAGAAATTTTAGTTGAAAGAGTAAAGATGAAGTAAAGAGATCATAATTAAACAATTATGACATGTGTGACTTGTGTTATAAGTTAACTTAAGATGAGGTTCAAAAGTAACATGACATGAAGATGAAACTTCACACAGAAGCAAAGTCACAAAGTTTGATAATCAACATCATAAGAGATGGAAAGCATTTGTCTTAAACCAAATGGGATTGATTAAGATCAAATTATGTGAAGAAGAATGATAGTTATAGGTCATAGGGAAGTTCATGATCCATCCTAAAGTATCTATCATGAACTTGGAGCCTCAAGCAATGCCATCAATATAACATGCTTAAGTGTCATGACAAACTTGTAAAAGTTGCAGTCTCTAATGCATACAAGCATTTGCGATATAAAGAGATCAAAACTAAAGTTCTTAAATGTTATGAGTAATAGACAACATCAAGATACCTTAAGGAGACATAACACGAAACTCTTGAGATAATCACTAGAAAGCAATGCTCAAAGTACAATTAAGAAAGCAAATGTAGCTCCTATTACGTCACCACGTTGGTTAGCAATTGAATACTAGCCAAAAGGTTTATAGGAGCATAAATAATTGAGATGAGAAGAGGGATTAAGATAAAGGCTTAAACATGGAAGTAATAGACTCAAGGCTCTCAACAACAATCAACACACATCATACATAAACTAAGTCAAAACAAAGAGTGATGTAAAGTGGAAAAAAGTGTGTGATCAAGTGAGCATGGTATAGAGTGTCAAGTAAGAGTGAATTCAGAAGCAAACACACAATGTTAACACACTCTAAGACCTCTAATCACCCCTAAGGCATCATCACTAACACACACAAAATCTAGTGCATGAATTAGGTCCAAAACACAACCTATCATGATCCTAAAGGTAAATGAAGCTTAAGAAAGGATATAGATGAAGAGGGACATGATTAGATGATGTGAGACATAAAATTCAGAAGCAAAAGGGACCTAAGATCAATCATTCAAACATCACAAGCAAATGAAGGTAATTGCACACAAAGCACATAAGAGAAGTGGCCAAGAGAAGCAAGCAAACATTGATCACCTAGAAAAGTGAGTTAAAGGCATGAGAAAAATAGAAAAGATTGGTCATGACAAGATTGAGTCAGTAGCATATCATACTCAAAATATTGGCCTAAAACTATGCACCCAGGTCACCAAATGCAAACATTTTAGTCAAGGCAAACTCTTATGTACACTTCTATGTCAAAATCAGGTTAAAAAAGGAAAATGACTTGTAAATTCACCTCAATTTAGTTCTAGCTTCCTAAAGACTTCTAAAAGTCAGAAAAGGATCAATTGTATTTGTTTAATATTTTAGCTAGATTTTATTATGTTTAATATTTTATTTATATCGATTGTATGAAAGCTTGAAAAGGATCAAGGAGTTTGTTTCATTTGAGCATAACCACCAAACCAAAAGTAATACACCTTGTGAGTGAGTGAAAATTTATTAACCCTATGTGCCTTAGTATCAGGATTCATCTTGGTATTGAGGTGTGCATTTATTTCCTTGCGTTCATCATGGATCCTAAGTTTTTTTCTAAGCCCTTGAACCATCAACCATATATTGTGTTGGATTTTTCCTTGCCTAGCTAGTTTGGTAGCATTCATTCACTTTGTGTAGTTGTATTCAAGTTAGGAGAATAAATATTTATTTGTTTATAAGTTTTTTGCTTGAGGTTGTGAAAGAAATAAGTGGTAGAAAAAGAAAAATATGAAAAAAAATGAGAAAGAAAGAAAATGTGAAAAAAGAAAAGAAAAGATAAGATAAATAAAAAGAAAATAAAAGAGTAAGAATAAACTCAAGGTTGTGAGAAAAAGAAAAAGGAGGAAAAGGTGAAATTTTTTTGGTTGTTTAAAAATGTGGGAAGTGATTGCTCACATAGGCTTAGGCGACTTTGTTTCAAACATTTTGTTTTGATTCTCTTTTGTTATCCAAACCACATTACAACCCTTGAAGCCCTTGTGATTCTTGATTTTGTGTTTTCAATACAAGTTTTTTAGATGAATGCATAATTTAATCCATTGTTATCAAGATTGTTGTGTGAGTTTCAATTCCCTCGTGCTTGTGTATTTTTCATCTATCGATGATTTTTTGCTAGGTGTGATTCGTGATTGAACATGTATCATTTTGGAATGTTTGACAAGACATTTGTATTTAATGCTTATTTCGTGATTATGTTGTCATGGTAGTTTAGTGGTAAGAAGTATGCTTTGTGTGTACCGTTTTTGTTTGAACCATTACATTTGTTTTCGTTTGTAAAAACCTGTTGATTCGTGAATTCTTAGATTTTCGCTTTTATTTCCTTGAGTTGGTTAGTTTTTGTTTGAGGACAAACACGTTTAAATTTGGAGAGAGTTTTGTGAGTGCTAAATTATTGTAAATTT